GTATGTACGTAGCTGAAATTTGTTTGCAACAGAGTATATTTGTCTTCGCATTTATACTAATTTCAAGGAATTATAATATCTTAACAGGCTATACTAAATTTGCCATGATGTTCGCAACACCCAGAAGAAAACTCTATAAAGTATGTTGTATATAAATGATCAGTGTGACGAGCTCTGTGTGGCCATCATCTGTCTGTATGTGAAATTGTCTCGCAATTTTTGACATATCGAGCTGAAATTTCGTAGATGTCCTTTTGTGTTTAAGCAACTGCTCATTTGTTGAAATCTGACCAATCAAAGTCCAGTAAATTGTAAAGAAATTTTTTTATTTGATGAGATATCTTCACGAAATTTTGCATTGCTTATTGTTCAAGGTAACGCTACAATCTGCGAACAAATTATTCTGATCGAGTCACTATAGCATATATCTGCCATACAAGCCGATATAGCCTAAATTAGTTAACATTATTTCTCGTTTTTATTTGTTCTTATATTGTCGAAGTTATTTCCTACAGGGCATTTACATGCTCCCTTTAAGTATGTGCTTCTTGTAATTGTTGAGATTTAGTGAGGTCGTTAACGATTGAAACGCATATTATCTTGTTTGCTTAGCACCTTTTTAACACACACTTGACTTGAGAGCTCGCATATCCTTTGGCAAACACATTAAGCTATATATTACTCACAAACACACATACACACATACATACGCATAGCATAATGCGAGCATAAGTGCGCACTTATTTCAAAGCATTCAAATTCGCACTTTCACACCAAGCAAAGAGTTGTACTGATAATGTTGTGGTTTTTGTTGTTGTTGTAGTACTTGTTGTTCCATTGTTTTCGACACAACACTTAAAAACACGTTCATCGCCTTTGGCGCTCGCTATTGTATTGCATGAGTATTTAGACCAAAGGCAGACAGATTATGAGCAGCTGGCTGGGGCCGCAGCTCAATGTATGTTGTTGTAGTTGTTTGTAGCGAAAGCAGGTCGCATTTTGTTGCGCAAGTATTTTATTTTATATATTTATTTTCCACTTGGCGAGCTTGGTGCGTCCTTTGCTCACGCTAACAGCTCACGAATGCCAATTTCTCCTCAGTAAATCTGTGGAGACAGACATACGGACAGGCTGTGAGTGGAGCAGTGAATGCTTACTGCACAATTCCTATTCAACAAGTGGTAATCGCAATGAATTTTTTTTGCCAGCAAAACGTTGAATGCAAACACACAGAGAAACGCATAATCGCATAAATACTGGCAAACATATTTTACATTGCATTTGCACATAAATCCTTAAGGACCTTAAGCAGCTTCCAGAACCAACGTTGCTGGCAGCACGCAATTGTGCACACACACACACACACGCACACAGACAGATGCGAAGACACCAATTCAACGTTATCCACTTCCATTGTCTACGCAATTCGCTATCCTGTCGCAAAATGACACTTCAACTTCCCGTATAATTCCCGCAGCTCTTCGCACACTGCACTCCCATTCAGCGCACTTCACCGCGATTAAGTGGGCGTGATTGTGGTTTTTAATGTTGCTCCTTCTGTTTCCACTTATGCGTCCTTTTTTGCGTCCTTGCTTATTAGTATTGTTCCTGCTTATTGTTGTTGCTGTTATTGTCTTCACTGCTACGCGCTGCCAGCGGCAACAAGTGCCCGCGCTGAGGTGATACCTTGTGGTGGTTGTTGACACAAATGAGTGGTTGAACTCAAGCAAGCGCACTCACGTACTAACACACGCTCACACACACACATTCTCACACACCTACACACATAATCTCCAACAATTGACATCACCTCCAATATAATGTTCATTGTTGTTGCGGTTTGTCGTTGCGCGTTTGCTAAGAAATAGCTGAAGTGAAGTAGGAATGAGGAGCAGAGCGTTTCTGTTAAGAACGATGCAAATGTATGGGTGGCGAAGCGCCCTGCCACCATGCCACAAGCTTTCAATTGTGCGCCTGTCGAGCACTCGAGTTTAACTGTTATTAAATTGTCGACAATTTGTACGCACACACTCACACGCATGCGCGATTTGTGTTCGTTTCGTTTTTGTCGCTTTGCCATCATTAATTTCCGAAAAAGAAGTATAGTCTTCATTCCACACGCTTTCTTAAACTCCACTCCATTATGCTCTGCATTATTCTTATTTAGGTATTTATGTGCGCTAATTTGAAATTTATTGACTGCAAATTGTGGGAATATTTAATTGGCAATTTCAATTTGTAAAACACAGATTTTGTGGTATTCGTAATTTTATAGGTTTGGTGGCAATACATTTTTTGACATGACAATCAAATGAAATATGATAAATATAACCATATTTTTCTCTTCCTAGCATTTTCACGGAAAGTCAGACTGTTCCCTGAACTCGATCATTTCTCAGGATTTTCGAAAGACGAATCGTGACCGTCGTATAAGTATATCACTCTTTGCTGATATGCCCTCTTATCTTGACGATAGCTTTAAACTTTTCGTCCGAGTAAGTCACTGTGGTTTTTTCAGAGCTTAACTTTTAATCTAGTGTCACCTGTCACCCAACGCCATCAAATGTTTACTTAAATTGTGTGCATTTGCTTCAATAGAGTATGCGAATGTTAAGTTAGAGCACGGTAGGTATGAAGAATGTTAAGTTAGAGCACGGAGGGTTTTTTCTATGAACACTTAAAATGTCCAACGATATTAGTATAAATTGAGTATGTTTGAATAATGACTCGATGACTCAAATTCAAGTTAATTGCTTCAGCTAATTGAGTCGTTTTAATATTACTTGTCGGTAGAATTTGAGTTACTTAGTTCTCCTTAAAAACATTTTACACATTTAAAATAAAAAAAATTATTATTATATTGTATGTACCATTTTCGACACGTGTTCTACATAATTTCTATCTAGTAACACATGTTTTACTCCCGCTAGTATTTCCTACAATTTAGACCATTTTTCATTTGCGTAAAAGACTATTTTATAGCCACACTATATAAAAAATGGCTTATGTTATCGCGTCTCGGCGCAAAATTATGAACATTGTCGCACTTCATCAATTCGCTATCAACAGAGTAACAAATTGATCTTGGGAGACAAAAGTTTTAGCTCGAACGCTCTGGATAAACGCAGAAGAGCAAAGCAACTGCTATCAGCCTAAATGTAGCGCAAATGGGCAGTTAACTAGGCGACAAATGCGCAAATGGACAGCAACTAAATTATTCATTAATTCGCATGACACTTGCCACTGCTGCCAACAGCGACGGTCAATGATAAAGTGACAAGCGATAAGTAAGTGAAAGACAAGTATTTAAGCGACGCGAAAGATGGGAAGTGTGACGACGCTACTAGTGTTAAATTATTCACAAATGTGTTGGGCAGTAAGAAAACTCTGCTAAAATTGACACAAGAAAAGTTAATCGCAAATATTTATATGCAAATGCGAGTAGGCTTAAGATAAGTTTACAGTTTAACGGGTGAGGGGTGCGATACAAAATCTAATAGGCCTAACAGCAAATAACGGCATAAATACTGCATATATGGGAGGAATGAGGCGCAATAAAATTTAGTATTGACACAAGCGTAATTGTAAAGTAAAGTCTGTCGAAAATATTCACGCTTGAATGGGTGCAAATAAAATTATAAAAATATAAGAAAATGTAGTAGAATTTTGAGAGGCTTTTTAGGCGCAATAATAATAATAAATTGTGCAGTTTGTGATAGTCGTAAATTTCTAGTGTCGCTGTGTTGCCCAATCGTTTAAAGAGGCGGAGTCGGCTTGTGCAGCAGTCTTATTCCCGCGTATATCTATAACTATACATATACAAGATATTTATATTTGAAATAGTTGAGGCAATTTTATTGCCGTCGCCACTAGTCTAAAATCATAGCCCTTCAGCGACTTTTACGCCTCTATATTTCCCTTCACTTCGATATGTACTTATCCTTCTTACCTTACCCTTCTTCAGCGCTCTTCGCTCTTTGCCATGTCGTGATTTCACTCTGCATTGGCTGACACGCGGCGGCGCTGTCAAGTAATTGAATTTTATGTGCGAGTTGACACTTAAGTGTCGCGCAATGTGCGCATTTAAGATCTGCCATAAATGCCACAAATTGTACTTCTTTGCAGCATTTATGAGCTATTAGCGCTACTTGAAGACGGGTGTGAGCGGTAGCCGAGTTGAGAGATAAAAATATGCCTTTAAATCAGGCACGCGATTTAATAGTTGCAGTTCAGAGGCTTATAGGATATATGTGGTGTGCATGATTTTATTCGTTTCATATATGCTGTTTGCATGTCTAGAATGCTTATGGTGTGCAGTTATTAACCTTCTTTTTTGCAAAAGAGTGTTGGTCAAGCGGTTCTTGAAAGTGGTTGGCATCGCAACGGCCGACCTTTAACCACAAACTCGGAAGCATGTGTTTTTCGAATTGGTGAATCAAATTACGAAAAGAGTAATAAGTCGATTTCATGCAGTATTTATTTTAAAGTCATAAAAAACTAGTCACAGACATAAACAAATATTTATTTTTAAACCATTTTTAGAAATTGCGATCAGGATCCTTTACGCCAATTACGATGTCAGCAGCGATACGAATGACGGAAACCACAAAGAGTCAATAAACCTTTTTTAGAAACTAATTCATCACACTTATCTTTGATAATCCGAGGAGGATTCATGTTAGATTGTAAGAATGCCACCACTAGCAGCTTTTTTTATGTTTGTCATTACTAATCTCAAAATATGCACAAATAATTTAAAGTGCTTATCAGCAGCGATCGCTTTAAAAATTTGTATATATTTCTCTGTTTAAAAACTGTATACCATATTTATTATGTAAAGATAACATGTTTATTAAGTCTTCAAATTATTCATAATATAATCGAGTAAATTTTATATAACTAAACAATTAGTTTCAATATTTCTGCCATTATTACATAAAATGAAAATGAAGTTTTAAAAACTGTTTCCTAATAATCTCTCTTCATTTCTCTTGTTGCAGGCTAATTTTTCTGGTCCCATGGTCGAAGCAAAACAATAAAATACACACATATATATACAGACGCATATATAAAATTAACTGGATTTAGCTACAATAATGATTAGTACTAGTAGTAGTAAGAACTGCGTTTGTAAAATGTTGACACAACAACAACAATACTATAATCTTTCTGTAAATATGCATGTTACAGTCAACTTTAGTTTGTTAAGTAACAAAAACAAAAATATAAATATACTTTGTATTTCTCAGCTAAAAAAGAAAACAGAAATGTTGTACTAAAAAAATGTGCTAAATAAAATATAATAAATGATAAATATAGGATAAAAGAAAAAGCTAAAAAAATATGATAAACGAAATCCTGAAAGTAACGTAATACGTAATATAATATAATTAGCAAAATTTCATAAATAAAAAAGATAATACATTTTTTTTTGCTTATAAACTTTTTTATTAAATATCTGTAATGCAAAGTATGTAAAACATTAAAACTGAGCATAAAATGTAAAACATGTTAATTCGTTTAAGTTACAACAAATAAAATTGTGTTTTCCTTATTTTTAAAGTAAAAAAAAAAAACATTATTATATATGTGAAAAAAAGAAAAAGCTATTGAAAATAAAATAGTAAGCATAAATAATGATAGAGCGATAAATTTAAATGTTAAAAAATAAAGAAATGGTTAAATGTGTTTATAATTTTTATTTAAGTAGTACAAAATGTAGAACGGCAACACGTCATAGCTGTAAAATGTAAGAATAAATGTAAGTCAAGCAAAAATACAAAAAATAAAGGATGAATGTTTATTACACTACAAGCAAATAGTATATATATTTGTGAGTAAGAAGCTAAACGCACATATGCACAGAGTTAGTTTAATTGGAAATTATGTATTTATTTAATAATGCGGGAGATTTAAAATTTTTTATATATGGTATTAATAAGCTTAAAGTGTAGACAGACATGCGACTGCAGTCGTAGCTTTGAAAGGAGACTACTTTAATTTAGTTTAATTATAATTTTTTTATCTGCGTGTCTAGTTTATAAAAAACCGCCAGTATGCTGCGTTCAAAAGCTTTCGCAAATGTGCAGAGAGGGTAGTAAATTCTGCGAAGTGCGAAGAGAAACATTAAATTTTTTAATGCGGAGATTATACAAGGCCTTAGGCTGTAATATTTCGAGAGAGAAAACTTTGTTGGAAGACTGTTCTTTACTACAAAGTTCAGATATTTTAACAGAATATGATATATGTAGAATCAGATAACAATTGGACAGATTGGAGTCCACACGCAGCAATTTTTGAACTTACACAGGCCAACTTAAAAGAGAATAAGAACTGCTCTTGAAAGTTCACATCTTTTCGTTTAGGTAGCCAAGGCCAGGTAGAGGAAATAATATTAAAACTTAATTGGACAAAGAGACAGACGTACATGCTTGAAACCGTCAGTGTGCTTTACTATATGTTTAAAGAGAAAGTATTGCTTAAGGTTTATTTCTAAAGCAGCGTTCTACTCCCTTCGATCCAACTAATTGGTGAATTAATTTTTGACTTCAAGGTCAATGTCCCTAACACATTGTTTATGTTAGGTCCATTAACTAAGGTGAACTTAAACTGAAGAGCCACTTTTCCACTATAGATCCGGTTAGGAACTTCACTCAAGGAAATATAGCGTAAAAAATCCTATGTAAACTGTATGCCATTTTAAGCTAAGTTTATATTGAAAATCGACTCAACACCAATCCACTTATGAAGATTCCGATATATCTACATTTTATATCTTCAAAATAATCGCTCATCAGAATGAAGTTGTTAAACGGAATTTTGCTGAAAAACTCATACGGCGAAATCCCCCCGGCGTCTAGGTGGATATATGTTTAATAGTTTTTTCCAAAAACTATGTGTCATGTCCCTGAATGGATAACTAACAGTTCACATCTCTTTATCGTGCTTGATTGATAATAGTTTGGAAAATATTTTACGGTTTCTAAAAAAAAAATATGTTTATTATAAACTTAACAAAGTATGCGTTGGAAAACATAGCATACCTTTAGGGGCTCAGCATATTATAGTTTCTCAAACTAAGATCTCTTAGACATGCATACTTCAGCTGCTTAAAGTAGCCACAATAATTAGAGTTCGGCGATAATTAAAATGCATAAACAATTTTTGAGGACATTAAGAAAACACCATTGCATGAACCAGTACCCACCAAAAAAACAAAAACAAAAACAAGGAAATTCAAATACTATTAAAAATAATAAAAGTAAAGCACTGAGACAATTTTCTTAGTAACAATATCCTTCAAGGCGCCTAAAAGCAGATGGAAACAATTTTGTAGTTAAAAGTAAACTGCCTGCAATTACAAACACATACATATAAAATTAAGTTAGATTAAGCGATGATTGTGTGTTTACTTTAAAGGTAACAATTAAACTATGAATACAAACCAATATAGTTACATACATATGTGTCGCTACAGCCATAATTAACTGTAAAAAAAGACCACTTGAAGTTGTCTATGCTAAACTTAGTGATAAATTAAAGAAATAATATTAAGTTAAAATAAAATAGTCAGCGATTTGGAGATAAACTTTCAATACCTTTTGTTTTGGCATTTTGCAGTAAGCACAAAGCTTCCGCTCTTGTTGAATATATTTCTCACAGAATAGTGCTGTTTTCTGAAAAAGCAAAGATATACCTTTAATTGAATTAATATACGTAATAGAGATACAAAACATACTTCAATTATGAACCAATCAGTAATTGATAGAATCTCAGGTGCAGCACAATTTGAGAGTAGTACACAAATAGCTTATATAAGCTCTCAGCAAGAGCTTCCCTTCTTCAAGTCGTATTATAACTTTTAATTTTTTTCACATAAATATAATATATATCGTCATCTAAAATGCAAACTTAAAAATCATAACAAAGATTGAAATTAAGGATTTTATCGTTTTCGAAGACAATTTACAGAAGCTTTGGATTATAACTCCTAAATCATAAATAATTAAAAATATTATGTTTTAGAACTATTTTATGTATTAACATGAAAATTGTAATTTAATTTTAAAAAAGTTTTACCTAAAAACAAGCCAGAATTTTGTACATATAAATTATACCTATTCATAAAAGTGAAATACAATTCAGTTTCAATAAAAGTCACATTTGAAAAAAAAAACTATATATAATTTTAATATTTTTGGAAACGCAATTTACATACCATACATATCTACGAATATTTAAAAAAAAAAAGTTTGATTCGATGAACATACGTTTTCACAGTTGTCTTAACTGTTTCTCTGTCAACTTTGACTTGTACCGCTTAGTTTTATATCCTCTCACGCAGTATAAAATTTGCTATCAGTTAGCTGCGCAAATCTGTCCTGCTATAGATAAGTAAATTATTTCTTAATAAGTCCAAAAATATTAGCTGGTTGGTAAGTATTATTTATATAAACGATAAAGTTGCTTAATATTAACTACAATGGTGCAGGCGTAAGAAACGACAAGTAATTAAAACCGATTTCAGGTTCTGACAGAAAACATGATTTTTATAAAAGCTGTCTTGAAAACCAAAGACAATCCTCCAACCGAATTTGTGCTGAAAAAAAACTTTTGAAATCAAACGTTCATTAAAATCATAGAATAAAACTAGGATTTAGAGGATGTATGCACAAAAAATAATGAAGCAACAATAATATGTTGTCCTTAAAGTAGTTCTTTTATGTTGCATCTCATTCTCTTGCCGTGTTCAATACACACTCTACACTTTGCTTTCATTTAACGACAGCCCCACAGAGTGTATTCTAACTTTATGTTCTCCCTCTGAGTCTTTCAATTTTCAGTTTACAAATCAAGATCCGGATAAAACTTTGCACAAATAGTGCCTTTGAGATGTCCCACCTTATGACCTAAAATTGTATAATTCGGGCTACAACTGCTCAAGCCCTCCGCTACCGAATAAGTGGACCCGACTTCCTTTTTATCAAAAATGCTGGATATTCTGTGAAATATATTATTGAAATTCGGTAAAAGACTTTTATGTTTGTATGTCAAAAATGGATTGAACCAGATCAATACTTCCTTTACCCCCCATATACCTAATGTAAAGATTTTCGAACTTCCGGCTGATCTTAATAGCAAGTTGCTCAAATAATGGTGGATCTTTGTGCCTAAAATGGAGAAAATCAGGTGGAAAACTTGCCCTAATCCCTAATCCCTAATTCCTATATATCTGATATTAATGATTTTGCAATAACCGGCTGACTTTGCCCCTTAAATATTGTTGATGGTAAGTGAGGTACTTTAATGAAACTCAGAGGGCATCTTTTTCTGTTAATAATATGTGGTATCTCCCATACCCATACTTAATACGTAACGCAAGTTGCCAGCGTATGAAATGTCTGGTTACAACCGAACTAAGCCTTTTCTAACTTGTTAAAATATGGTACTATTAATACCTATAAAATTGAGCATAACGGCTTCACATGAATTTTGATGCGTTTATTTTTTGCTATAAAGTCTGACTACCAAATAAAAATAATGTTACCAATCCATAACAAGCACATATGACTCCACTTTAATAGTGAATCACTTCAAGCTTTCGAATTCGAAATTACAACAAAAAAAGCTTCTTATCCTGTACAATAACCGGTAATACTTATTTTGAGCTTAAGACAAAGTGGTTGAAACCTGCAAAGCACAATTATTTAGAGCTTTATGTTCTATAAGTTTAAGAAAAGTACATAATCCTTCCGGTTCAGCAATATATACCCATAATTGTGGGTAGATAATATAAAAAAATATATTTACATATGTATATGTATACATATTCTTAAAAGCACGTTGAATATAGCAATTCATAAGAGTGCGGAAATTTAAATTTTCACTACAGTATGGAGATATATAATATATAAACTTTCACTATTGTGAACAGTGACAATTTTTAAATATTCGTCCTGAAAGAGAGCACCATGCAGCCATTCTTTTGCCTGAAGGGAATAGCCAAACAATAATAATATCCTTCTTATATTTCATTCGTGAAAGAAAATCCACTTTGTTGAACTGTTAGCTTTTATTCACTAAAGTTGCTTACTTAAATCTTAATACGGAAAATGATGGTTACTTACGACCTTTTTCATGCTATTGAACATGCATTAGGGTGTAGCATTAATCATTAGTACTCTGCTTTTTAGTATTAAAGTACAATAGTATTTTAAAGATAAAATATTTTTATAATTTATTTATAAAATAATGCCATGGTGCTTTTTTAATAGCAATTATCCGCACAACTTATATAAGGTAAGTAATTACTTCATTGGAAAATATGTCGTAATTTATATGACCTTAAACCTTTGAAATGGATACGAATATCCAATTGCCTGTAACTACTGTCTATAAAAACTGTCAGATAAATTGGCTTTAACATAAAAATTTATACAAATACATTAGTAGGAAATTCTTAAAGCTTTCAGATACTCCTTTGGTTAGAACTTTTCCAAATGGTACATAGATTAAAAGTTCGTTGCTCATTTTATTTCGAATATTTTTTGTAAATAATTCAAAGAAGAACAATAAATTTTAATCCTCATAATTCGGCTCACCTTTATAATAATATATACAAGTTTAATACTTCATATAAGCTTGCATAATCACACATCGGCACTGTTATTCTCCCGCAACAGGTATTTTCCCCATCTCGCTTTGGCCTATAATTCAGGCATGAATTTTCGAAGCGTTATCACATATTCTAAATCTGGATAAGTATAGGTATAAGCACATTTTATTTTTGCTGGTGTATGATTGTGTGTATAGCA